CTTGAGACATATGGCTCGAAATCTCACATTTCTCCTTCTAAGTCTTAGAAAGACACTTTAACTAATACAAATGCAGTTAAGACCATCCGTCTTGTGTAAATGTTAACAAAACCGTTTGACGAAATCCTCGTTTGTAATCGCCTATGTCTATTATAGACTCAGTGTCGTAATTGATATATTTTCTCAGCGATGTTAGAACGCTCAATTGTCTTTGAATTCCAGTTTGAGTCATTTTGACTTCGGTATGTTTAATTAGAAAAAGGTCTCCTTACACGTTTACACTCCCCTCAATACTTACACGGTTACACCCCCTCAATACTTACACGTTTACACTCCCCTCAATACTTACACGGTTACACCCCCTCAATACTTACACGTTTACACTCCCCTCAATACTTACACGTTTACACTCCCCTCAATACTTACACGGTTACACCCCTTCAATACTTACACGGTTACACTCCCCTCAATACTTACACGGTTACACCCCCTCAATACTTACACGTTTACACTCCTCTCAATACTTACACGGTTACACCCCCCTCAATACTTACACGGTTACACCCCCTCAATACTTACACGGTTACACCCCCTCAATACTTACACGGTTACACTCCCCTCAATACTAACACGGTTACACCCCCTCAATACTTACACGGTTACACCCCTTCAATACTTACACGGTTACACTCCCCTCAATACTTACACGGTTACACCCCCTCAATACTTACACGTTTACACTCCTCTCAATACTTACACGGTTACACCCCCCTCAATACTTACACGGTTACACCCCCTCAATACTTACACGGTTACACCCCTTCAATACTTACACGGTTACACTCCCCTCAATACTAACACGGTTACACCCCCTCAATACTTACACGGTTACACCCCTTCAATACTTACACGGTTACACTCCCCTCAATACTTACACGGTTACACCCCCTCAATACTTACACGTTTACACTCCTCTCAATACTTACACGGTTACACCCCCCTCAATACTTACACGGTTACACCCCCTCAATACTTACACGGTTACACCCCTTCAATACTTACACGGTTACACTCCCCTCAATACTAACACGGTTACACCCCCTCAATACTTACACGGTAACACCCCCTCAATACTTACACGTTTACACTCCCCTCAATACTTACACGGTTACACCCCTTCAATACTTACACGGTTACACTCCCCTCAATACTTACACGGTTACACCCCCTCAATACTTACACGTTTACACTCCTCTCAATACTTACACGGTTACACTCCCCTCAATACTTACACGGTTACACCCCCCTCAATACTTACACGGTTACACCCCCTCAATACTTACACGGTTACACCCCCTCAATACTTACACGGTTACACTCCCCTCAATACTTACACGGTTACACCCCCTCAATACTAACACGTTTACACTCCCCTCAATACTTACACGTTTACACTCCCCTCAATACTTACACGGTTACACCCCCCTCAATACTTACACGGTTACACCCCCTCAATACTTACACGTTTACACTCCCCTCAATACTTACACGTTTACACTCCCCTCAATACTTACACAGTTACACCCCCTCAATACTTACACGTTTACACTCCCCTCAATACTTACACGTTTACACTCCCCTCAATACTTACACGGTTACACCCCTTCAATACTTACACGGTTACACTCCCCTCAATACTAACACGGTTACACCCCCTCAATACTTACACGGTAACACCCCCTCAATACTTACACGTTTACACTCCCCTCAATACTTACACGGTTACACCCCCCTCAATACTTACACGGTTACACCCCCTCAATACTTACACGTTTACACCCCCTCAATACTTACACGGTTACACCCCCTCAATACTTACACGTTTACACTCCCCTCAATACTTACACGTTTACACCCCCTCAATACTTACACGGTTACACCCCCTCAATACTTACACGTTTACACCCCCTCAATACTTACACGGTTACACCCCCTCAATACTTACACGGTTACACCCCCTCAATACTTACACGTTTACACCCCCTCAATACTTACACGGTTACACCCCCTCAATACTTACACGGTTACACCCCCTCAATACTTACACGTTTACACTCCCCTCAATACTTACACGTTTACACTCCCTCAATACTTACACGTTTACACTCCCCTCAATACTTACACGGTTACACCCCCTCAATACTTACACGTTTACACTCCCCTCAATACTTACACGGTTACACTCCCCTCAATACTTACACGGTTACATCCCCTCAATACTTACACGGTTACACTCCCCTCAATACTTACATGGTTACACTCCCCTCAATACTTACACGTTTACACTCCTCTCAATACTTACACGGTTACACCCCCTCAATACTTACACGGTTACACCCCCTCAATACTTACACGGTTACACCCCCTCAATACTTACACGTTTACACTCCTCTCAATACTTACACGGTTACACCCCCTCAATACTTACACGGTTACACCCCCTCAATACTTACACGGTTACACCCCCTCAATACTTACACGGTTACACCCCCTCAATACTTACACGGTTACACCCCCTCAATACTTACACGGTTACACCCCCTCAATACTTACACGGTTACACCCCCTCAATACTTACACGGTTACACCCCCTCAATACTTACACGGTTACACCCCCTCAATACTTACACGGTTACACCCCCTCAATACTTACACGTTTACACCCCCTCAATACTTACACGTTTACACCCCCTCAATACTTACACGGTTACACCCCCTCAATACTTACACGGTTACACCCCCTCAATACTTACACGGTTACACCCCCTCAATACTTACACGGTTACACCCCCTCAATACTTACACGGTTACACCCCCTCAATACTTACACGGTTACACCCCCTCAATACTTACACGTTTACACCCCCTCAATACTTACACGTTTACACTCCCCTCAATACTTACACGTTTACACTCCCTCAATACTTACACGTTTACACTCCCCTCAATACTTACACGGTTACACTCCCCTCAATACTTACACGGTTACACCCCCTCAATACTTACACGGTTACACCCCCTCAATACTTACACGGTTACACCCCCTCAATACTTACACGGTTACACTCCCCTCAATACTAACACGGTTACACCCCCTCAATACTTACACGGTTACACCCCCTCAATACTAACACGTTTACACTCCCCTCAATACTTACACGTTTACACCCCCTCAATACTTACACGTTTACACCCCCTCAATACTTACACGTTTACACTCCCCTCAATACTTACACGTTTACACCCCCTCAATACTTACACAGTTACACCCCCTCAATACTTACACGGTTACACCCCCTCAATACTTACACGGTTACACTCCCCTCAATACTTACACGGTTACACCCCCTCAATACTTACACGGTTACACCCCCTCAATACTTACACGTTTGTAATCGCCTATGTCTATTATAGACTCAGTGTCGTAATTGATATATTTTCTCAGCGATGTTAGAACGCTCAATTGTCTTTGAATTCCAGTTTGAGTCATTTTGACTTCGGTATGTTTAATTAGAAAAAGGTCTCCTTACACGGTTACACCCCCTCAATACTTACACAGTTACACCCCCTCCATAATTTAAGCAACCAGATCTCATCATGTGCAAGAATTGCCAACTTACTAATATTATATATTGTAATGTGTTTTATAATTGTTGCACCTTTAAGTTGTTGTTCTAAGTCTCTTGACTTGGGATTAGCATAATCATGTTCATTCAAATAACCCCAGAGACAAAAGTCTTCTGTCGTCGAATCTGGTGAAAATGGAAGTCTTCACAATGTCTGTATAAAAAGAGATCAGATGTTCAGGAAACTGCGTTCGTAGGAAGTCTCTCTTGTGGCCCATTCTGTGTGTCGAGGGCCTCAATCATTTTGAAACCACTGTGTTCCCGTTCTGATATTATTCTTGAAGGTACAACTCCTGAATCATTTGACGATAATTGATCTGGTTCTCTGTGATTGTAACCCTCAAACCTCTTTCCCTGTGGCTATTTGAAGGAGCAACTTAAAACTTTGTATTAGGGAGAAAACGTACATGTTTTAGTTACAAGACCATGCAAAAATGTCTGAAAATATTGGTTGGTTATTTTGTGCTGTTAATATACTTTTGGAAAAATGGAAACCAGATGGGACTTAAATTAAAATGGCCTTGTTTACCCAACTCCTTTGTAAAAAAAGTCAAGCAGAAACAGGCGTGGTCTCACTGAGAAGTCCCAGTTTCGAGAGGTGTAAATGATTTTGTTATATTGTTTCATTCATTCGTTTGTTTTTCTCTTGCAGCAAGCGATGCCCTTCAGTTAGGATCAACAGATGCAAAGGTGGTCGTGAATCCCATCTCGTAATTGAAGGGGAATAGATGCCTAGTGGGATATACCTCCTGTGTTAAGAATTTGAAGACAAATCGATGCGAGATAATCCGAAACGTTAGATTGATTGAGATTTGCTCGAATGAGTTCTAAGCGAATACGTCGAGATTTATGCTACATTCATTTACACTTGGAAGCTTATATTTAGTGATAAGGTATTACACAAAAACAAACACAGTTAAGGAGAAAGTGTATAATTCTTTCAAGATTCCGACTTAGTTTCAAAGTGCCTGCTGAGTTATTGCAGAGCGAGACCTTCTCATGTCGGAAATATAGATGTTTAAACAGCAATCACCAGAGGCGGCTGCAAGCTATTATTAAACACTAAGCTTATTCAGTTTTTGAAAAATACATCGGAAGAATTATTTGAAATAAACTATGAATACAACTTTTATCTGAGCTCATATTGGAGTATACAACATAATTTCTTAGCAGTTAGCGGGAAGACAGTGTTGATTAAAGACGTTATAGATCTAATTGTTACACGTAAATACTTGGATTTATAAGCAAAGGTGGGCGCCGCAATTAACGTTAAGGAGTCGAACAATAGGTAATCCTTGAGAATTATCAGGATTAGGTTGATAAAGAAAAATCACTGTCTTATGTATTGAACGGAACCCTTGAACCAGAAATAATTTTGAGATCTAGTCTGTCTAAGATTTGAACACTTTGAGAAACAAATTTGGGATATTACTTGCACAACACAAATACAGCATAAACATGAATTACACCGAAGAAACAGTCGTTACCATGCCATTGGAGATAATTGATAGCACGAACACATCGATCCATGAGGAAATATCGTATCCACTGTCACCAAATTTGACGCTATTCGATCAAAATGCCAGCAACATCTCGAATGGAAATGATTCATTTTACACTTTCTATTTTCGACGTAGAATCCCTAATAAGGAACAGGCGATGGCACAATTTGCAATGGCGACGATATTTTGCTTTTTGTCAGTGTTAGCAAATGTGCTTTCCATTGTCGCAATTTGTAGCATCCAAGGCAGGATTACGGCAAATCACGCCCTCTATATCAACATCTCTCTTGCTGACGCCTTTGGGGCATTGGGATGCTACATGGAGATTATTTCAAAGGTGCAAAATGTACTGAATTTCAAGGGGACAATCACAGTTTATTTCTACACGACCGTTTTGGGATATTTCTTCTTCGTCCTATTTTATTTAATCTCAGCACTAACTTTACTCTTCATCGCATCTCTTCGTTACATAGCAATATGCTACCCAGTGTACTATAACAGAATATGTACGATGCAAAATGTAATGATTGCCATAGTTAGCATTTGGGTCTGGTCAACGCTACTCAGTCTACCTGCATGTTGTACGATCATTGAAATAATGCACGGCGGCATTATAAAGTCAGAACACTGCGAATGGTGGAACTATATGTGGCCGATAATCATTATCGTTCTATTCCTTCTCGTGCTCTCGCTCTATATTCACGTTTCCTGCCTTCTTAAGGCACGATACAGGCGGATTCGCTCCGAGCAACAGGCAAAGGACAACTATAGAGCGTTTGTTACGACCGTCATGCTAATAACGTCCCTCTTTGTGAATCTACTGCCGTTTATGGTTATTAAACTCATCCGATACCACGTGAGGATTCACCAAGATTTGTACTATAACTTTATATATTTCCTGCCCTATTTGAACTTCATTTCTGATCCGATCATATACGGATCTCGTACAAAGAATATACGTGAGTCTTACAGACGGCTGTGTCTGAAGACCGTGTTTGGAAGGTGTGTAAAACACAGGGTAAGATTCTCTGCTTTAGCATCTACCGCCTCTACGGCGACTGCTATAACAAAAACCGAAGAAACTATAATGTAGGGAATCCGGAAACGATCCTTTAAAGCCGGAATCATCCTTTTAATTCGTCCTGCTGTACACCAGACTTTTCAAGGCGGGTATAGCTGGGAGGGGAGGCAAAATACTAACTTGAGGGGTTCGTTTGTAAGCCTCGGAGCTCTGGAATTTTAGAATTGAACTCTTGTAGCACCGGCGTTTACATACGAATATCGTCATTTGTGTTTAGATGGAAGTGCCCGGAACGACGCAAACTAATGGTGAAATATGAATTTCTTGAAGATATGTGGAATGTATGAATATGGAATATTGATATTCCGAATATTAAAATTCCAGGCAAAGGAAGTATTGGACAATTCAAAACAATGTGTTAAAATAGCAAGCGTTTCAGCTGAACTTTGCAATAAAATGTGTAAGGGTGAGTGACTTGAGTTTATTCTGGCTTTGTTGTTTCAAATGAACTATTGAATTGGATTTTTTCTTGCCTAACGTTTAAATTCCATTACTTAATATGAATGTCAAGGATACGAACATCTACACGAAACTATATATGAAACTGCTATTAGGAATGCAAGACTGGCGACGTCTAAATCCAACTCTCCAGCTGGAAAGCTTGAATCGGTATCATATTTCGATTTTTGGATGGCAATCATTTGAGCTGAGATTTCAAATAGTAAAGTCTGTCTATGGAAAAATTTAATAGGAATGCTCATTTTGATGAACTTGCACACAGATGGAAAAGAAATGTCTGATTTACTATAACATGAGCAGTTTATTAGGGCCGTCTGGTAAAATAGCATTTTAATCGAAGTATTTAATAGGAATGTTCGAATTGTAAACGTTACAATGGTCAATCCAATTGGACCGTTCTACTGCTTTTCTACTGAAATTGCTAATATGAGTTTTTATAACTACTTGGATCATTTATCGAATAGGGTTGTCTGCATGGCGAATATTATAGCCAAAGTTTTTAACAGGAACAGCTTGATCGAATTTTTGAAATAAAAAAGTTTTAACTTTTCATTGAAAATAAACAGGCAAATCTTAAATAGAGATGTTGAGCGAGCATTTCGATCGAATTGGCTGTGATTGACCGAGTGATTGACATTACAACTCAGCTATTTTTAGTAATAGAAATGAAAGCATTTAGATCGAATTAGTGATTGACAATACAACTCAGCTATTTCGTAATAGGAATGTAAGCATTTAGATCGAATTAGTGATTGACAATACAACTCAGCTATTTCGTAATAGGAATGCGAGCATTTAGATCGAATTGGCAGTGATTGACAATACAACTCAGCTTTTTCGTTATATGAATACAAGCATTTCGATCGAATTATTGACTGACAATACAACCCAGCTATTTCGTAATAGGAACGCAAGCATTTAGATCGAATTAGTGATTGACAACACAACTCAGCTATTTCGTAATAGTAATGCAAGCATTTAGATTGAATTAGTGATTGACAATACACTCATCTATTTCGAAATATGAATGCGAGCACTTAGATGGAATTAGTGATTGACAAAGCAACTCAGCTATTACGTAATAGGAATGCAAGCATTTAGATCGAATTATTGACTGACAATACAACTCAGCTATTTCGTAATAGGAATGCAAGCATTTAGATCGAATTAGTGATTGACAAAGCAACTCAGCTATTACGTAATAGGAATGCAAGCATTTAGATCGAATTATTGACTGACAATACACTCAGCTATTTCGAAATATGAATGCAAGCATTTAGATCGAATTAGTGATTGACAATACACTCAGCTATTTGGTAATAGGAATGCAAGCATTTAGATCGAATTAGTGATTGACAATACAACTCAGCTATTTCGTAATACGAATGCGAGCATTTAGATCGAATTAGTGATTGACAATACACTCAGCTATTTCGAAATATGAATGCAAGCATTTAGATCGAATTAGTGATTGACAATACACTCAGCTATTTGGTAATAGGAATGCAAGCATTTAGATCGAATAAGTGATTGGCAATACAACTCAGCTATTTCGTAATAGGAATGCGAGCATTTAGATCGAATTAGTGATTGACAATACAACTAAGCTATTTCGTAATAGAAATGCGAGCATTTAGATCGAATTAGTGATTGACAATACAACTCAGCTATTTCGTAATAGGAATGCGAGCATTTAGATCGAATTAGTGATTGACAATACAACTCAGCTATTTCGTAATAGGAATGCGAGCATTTAGATCGAATTATTGACTGACAATACAATTCAGCTATTTGGTAATAGGAATGCTAACATTTCGATCGAATTAGTGGCTGACAATACAACTCAGCTTTTTCGTAATAGGAGTGCGAGCATTTAGATCGAATAAGTGATTGACAATACATATACTTGTTTTGGTAACAGCCGAGTGCAACACCAGTGATATAGCTCGCCTATAAATATAACTCACCAGTAGCTCTCTTATAAATTGCGAATTCAAGTATTCTCGAACATATATTCGTTTTGCTAACAGCGTCATCGAATGATATAGTGATATAGCTCGCCTATACATAGAACTCACCAGTAGCTCTCTTATAAATTGCGAATTCAAGTATACTCGAACATATATTCGTTTTGGTAACAGCGTCATCGAATGATATAGTGATATAGCTCGCCTATACATAGAACTCACCAGTAGCTCTCTTATAAATTGCGAATTCAAGTATACTCGAACATATATTCGTTTTGGTAACAGCGTCATCGAATGATATAGTGATATAGCTCTGAATAGAACTCACCAGTAGCTCTCTTATAAATTGCGAATTCAAGTATACTCGAACATATATTCGTTTTGGTAACAGCGTCATCGAATGATATAGTGATATAGCTCGCCTATACATAGAACTCACCAGTAGCTCTCTTATAAATTGCGAATTCAAGTATACTCGAACATATATTCGTTTTGCTAACAGCGTCATCGAATGATATAGTGATATAGCTCGCCTATACATAGAACTCACCAGTAGCTCTCTTATAAATTGCGAATTCAGTACTCGAACATATATTCGTTTTGGTAACAGTGTCATCGGGTGCAGTACCAGTGATATAGCTCTGAATAGGACTCACCAGTAACTACTTATAGCTAGTGGATTCAAGTATTCTTGGACATATATTCGTTTTTGCGCTATATAATCACATAAAATTAGTGAAATATTTCATTTCGTTGTCATTTTAAAGTATCGTTATAAGTTATACCCGAATAATCAGTTATATATAAGTAATGAGTTCGACATGAGTAATGAATTATACCTGAGTTATAAGTTATAAATAAGTAATACGTTATTCATAAGTAATGAGTTATCAATGGGTAGCGAGTTAAATATGAGTCATAAGTTATACAAGGGTGATTAGTTACACATGAGTAATGAGTTCTACACGATTAATAAGTTAACATGAGTAATGAGTTATACTTGAGTAATGAATTATACATGACTTATGAGTTATACATGGGTGATAAGTTACACCGTCTCATGATTTAATGATTTAAACATGATTCATACATGGTTAGACAAGGTGTGTCCGATTCCAGCCAATCCGAACACAGTATTTTTACACGACAGCAGTGCATGAAATAATAAATAACGCATTTGTTGTGTCTCTTTGTTGTGTAGTTAAGGTGATAAAATTGCGATTGATGCTTTGCCAATACTTGATCCTTGCAAAAGGTTTCATTGAAAATATGTTCGTTTAGTGATTTTCTATATTGCAGCGCGGTCGTGCAAAGATTTTCAAACAACACCTTTATGGTATGATTCAGAAAACAAGAATGAGTTGTGCACGAAATTGCGATCGAGATATGTTTAGAGGAGAAATTTTGAGTATATTGATCGAAAGCTCTGCATATGCCATGATTGCTAATATCTTAATGTCTGTAATGAGTGGTAATAATGAATATTAAAAATTGTGATAAATTGAGTGTATAAAATGAGTACTTATAAATCTTTAGTGTTGGAAATTAGTGCTATTTTGCGCAAAGAGAATGGGTTCAAATAGTTTGAGTATATAGATTGGCTGCTAATATCTTAAAAATGGGGAATTAGTGCTTAAACCTGATGCGTTCTTATACCGGAGTTTAAAAAACGAGCGTTTTCCGTATATGAGTATAAACAATCTATTAATTTTTTACTATAAAGAAGCCACTTCTCTGAAACGATAGGACACTAAAATTTAGTCAATAATCATAAGTGCGTCTTGTACATATTACCGTACAGTACTTAAAATCAAAAATCATACATTTACGTAGAATGAAATAAACATGTTTTTCAAATCTTGTTAAAATCTTTAAAATGATAAGGGCTTACGTTCACGTTTAAGAAATAAGCAACCATGAAAAGGAAATGAGTGTTGGTATCTGAGATTAGGATATAAATGCTTATATATACGAATCTAGAAATTAATGCTAATAAATTAGTATGGAATTGAGTATAAGGGAATAAGTGCTAATATTTGAGTAAAATAATAATTGATTATATCTTGAGAATAAAATGAGTGTTATATCTATCAGTATGACAAATGAGTGTTTAGAAAATTTGAAAAAAGAGAAATTTGAAAGCCCATGCTGTCACTATGCTTCATATATTATCAAATTGATCATGATAACATCGAATGAAAGAAAAGGTAAAAATACAATGGACAGATTTACGTACATATGACTTCGGATAACTGTATTAGTGCTAACCACGAGTCATTCAGAAAGTTGCTTGATATTTATATCAATTTGTTTTGCATTAGGTCAATAGTTTATGTCAATAGAACGTTTGTAAATATATTGAAACTATTGTATCGTGTAATGTGAATAAATAAAAGTCAAGATTAGACAAAGTAAAAATATGTGTTGGCTTTCTTTTGGCAAGATACATGTTGTTCAATAAGCGACCGTTTGATAAAATTTCTAATTCATTTTCTAACTCTATATTGTTCTTGTTGGGTAATATGTTTTCAGTGTAATGAAATTTGGTAGTTCTGTTTTTCATAATTCTCGAAACAGAGGCTACCATTGTACCCAAGTAATCATTAATAACAACGATGTTATCCGACACATTTATAGTGTGTCCCTCGGACATATGCAAGGAGGATTGTAAGTCGTTATTCAAACTCGATTTTCCGTTGCCTTGCGTATATTATTTTGTTTACTATATTATTCATATTTTGACCAGAAAATGTTGACCAAAATATTAAGACCAGAACTGCCAAGGAAGCTTAGATATTGACATAATATTCGTAATATCATTTTCCGACGAAATATTTGGTCCAAAAAGAATCATATGAAAATAAACATTAATACACATCAAG